TTGTTATACTATTTTTTAACTTTTTAAATTGTTTTTAAATGCATTACTCGATACCGGTATATGAATTAATATTATATTATTACCAAATAATTGTTGAATTAATGATTGAAATTAAATTTATGCAAAACATTGATACCAAACGATAAATCACTTCCAAATAAATATAACATTTTAATTGTTGTTATAAACGAAAGTGAATTGCAATTAAACCAATATGTGATTAATAATTGTATTCCAAGTGATTTCAATGGAGATCTGAGAATATATTATTCATTTATTAATTCTACACAAATTGTTTTTTATTATACACTATATTATTATAATTATTATTATTATTAAACAAATATTCAATAAATTTGATTTTTCATTATATTGTTAACTATATGTTGCGTTGAATTAATTTTAATTAATGAAAACATTAGATACAGTTTGCGTGTTAACAAGTGTTGTCATATCCCATATGCTTTACTAAACATACTGCCAATCATTTGTGTGACTCCCGATTCAATGGACAACACTTCTAATACTTCACATTTAATGTACTTATTTGTAAAACTGATAGAACTTATGCTATTCATTACATTATCCAACTCTTAATACTAACGATAGTTGATATCAACAATACTATTGTCAATATTGTATTCATTTAACTTAATTAGCAAATGATATCGCTTTCAATAATGATATTAATGAACAACATTTTCACATATAAGGGAATCTGAGGGTCGATAAGAATCTTGCGTTTCATGTGAACATTGAGATTAGATATGTGTTTAAATTTGAAACCTAATGGAAACTACATTTACATAGTATTATCTAAATGATCCAAAAATATCAATTATAGTTTATTATTTATATGATATACAGTAAGTCATTACTTAATTAATTAATTCAATAAAACATTTTCTTATTGATAATCCTTTGTACGGATGGAAAGGCGAGGGAAGGGATGGGTAGAGAGGAAGGGCTGACATAAAAGAAAACGATAAAAAAGAAAACTTAACGCATAATTATATCGATTCATTATATGATACTGTGCTGTGAATATGAATTGTGCGAATACATGGTATATATTTTAGTTACCATAATATGATCGACAGTTTATGGACACGAATTAATTCAATGGCTATTCTCTGTACGAAATGAAACGACGAAAAGAATACGATTCAAGAATTAGTATTAGTGGCCATACAATGAAAGCGTCGATGAATTCGTATACAATTTGGGCANATTTATGCGAAACACTCGCTTCGAGCCATTAATTAGCTTTGAGTTCACAAACTTCTCATACGGTTTTGAAATTACACAACAAAAAATGATCCCAAAAATGGTTATAACTATTTATCTAAAATTTACCCACAATTAGACTTTATATTCCCAAAACTCTTACAACTCGTTAGAGCTCTCGCGGACTTATGTTAAACATAAAATCAATAATTTACTAGAGAGAGAGAGAGAGAGAGGACCGAATTTTTGATGTCATTTTAATTGAATTCAAAGTCTATATTCAAATTTATCAGACATTTATTTATAAATAATTAAATGCATACCAATTGAGAATGCATTACATTTTAATATCAAGTGTTTTACGATACATGTTGACTGAATTGTTAGACTAACCCATCATTTCCTATAATATATTTTCAGAAGATTTAGTTTAAATGCAAATATTTAGGGAATGTGTTGAACAGTATTTTGAATTTATTTTGGCGTCAAAGCGTGTGAATTGCCTTTTAAACAATGTATTGATTTTGTAATTTTAATTCCTGAGGAGTGCTCTCCTGAAAAATGTATTGTCTAATCATTTTGTGCGTGTTTTTCATTCCCCTATTCTTCTTCTTATTCTTCCACTTCTAGCGTCCGATTGTATTGATTGGACCGACAAATATAGGTCGACATGAGCTGAGGCAGCGTCTGATGCACGACACCGATCGGTTCGCAGCAGCCGTTCCGCACACTTCCCGGTCTAGAAGGGAGGGAGAGATCGATGGCATAGATTACCATTTCATTAGTCGACAACAGTTTGAACAAGATATCAAAGACTGTAAACACACAACCATTACTTCTTTTCCGTTCACTTTTCAATACTTAACAATACTTATCGATTGAATATATCTTTTCTTTATTTTTTAAACAATACAAAACTCGCATCAATTTTTAGGCCGTTTCGTAGAGCACGGAGAGTACGAACGTAACTATTACGGCACCTCATTGTCCGCCATCGAGACTGTGGTCCAGTCGGGAAAGATATGTGTCCTCAATCTTCACGTCCATTCCATACCATTGCTCAGACAGGGACAGGCGGGTAAGGCTTACACCACTTCATTTGCATACACCACTCGTTTATTAGTTTATTGTGTGTTTACTGTTAATGACATTTGACCGATGATTGTATGATTAGGCGCTAAACTGAAGCCATACTTCGTGTTCGTAACGCCTCCGCCACAGATTGAGAAACTGAATCGCTTGATGACAATGACGGCCAGTAATCCGCAACAGCATTACGACACCAACAGTTCCACCGCAACAGACCTCCAGTCCATTATAGATGAGGCGCGCGATATTGAGGCCCGATATGGACACTACTTCGACATGATTTTGTCCATCACTGACATCGAGAGAGCTTATCAGGAGTTACTTCGGGAGATTAACGCATTGGAAAGGGAACCCCAATGGATACCATCGGTGTGGTTGAGGTAGTGTTGGTCCCACAACTCCTTAATGACAATTAGTATTATTATAATTATTATTGAAATACATTTTTGTATAAATTCTTAACACAATGTTTACACAAATTCTATAATTCATTTGTTAATACATTTCTCTATTTGTTTAAAAATCAACTCATCGTCTAATTTAAGAAATTCCTAAATGTATTGTATATTTAATACATGAAACGCTAAAAAGAAATTTATTTAAAAATTAAAAAAAGAATTATTTTCCATAATTTGTTTAATATAATTGTCATTCGTTTTGGTGTTTTGGAAAAAATCTTGCTGTTTAATGTTTTTATATAATAGTTTTCAATTGTTATTTCATTGAATTTGTGTAGTAATCAGAATATTCTGATTCTTGAGTCAATAGTCTTTTTGCTCTTTCATCGTATGGTTCAAACGAAGACAAAATCGATTCTCTCTCTCTCTCTCTCTCTCTCTCTCTCTCCTGTTCTCATATAAAGCAAACACATATGCATTGTCTGTACGTTTGGATTCTGTTGTGTGGTTTAGATTCCGACAATTGTGTATAACATAGTAATGAGAAACATATGTATTGACAACAAACAAGAAAACGTGAAAAGTTTTGCCCAAATTGTATACGAATTCATCGACGCTTTCATTGTATGGCCACTAATACTAATTCTTGAATCGTATTCTTTTCGTCGTTTCATTTCGTACAGAGAATAGCCATTGAATTAATTCGTGTCCATAAACTGTCGATCATATTATGGTAACTAAAATATATACCATGTATTCGCATATCAATTCATATTCACAGCACAGTATCATATAATGAATCGATATAATTATGCGTTAAGTTTTCTTTTTTATCGTTTTCTTTTATGTCAGCCCTTCCTCTCTACCCATCCCTTCCCTCGCCTTTCCATCCGTACAAAGGATTATCAATAAGAAAATGTTTTATTGAATTAATTAATTAAGTAATGACTTACTGTATATCATATAAATAATAAACTATAATTGATATTTTGGGATCATTTAGATAATACTTTGTAAATGTATGTTCTATTCGGTATAAAATTTAAACACATATCTAATCTCAATGTTCACATGAAACGCAAGATTCTTATCGACCCTCAGATTCCCTTATACTGTATGTGAAAATGTTGTTCATTAATATCATTATTGAAAGCGATATCATTTGCTAATTAAGTTAAATGAATACAATATTGACAATAGTATTGTTGATATCAACTATCACTAGTATTAAGAGTTGGATAATGTAATACATAGCATAAGTTCTATCAGTTTTACAAATAAGTACATTAAATGTGAAGTATTAGAAAGGGTTGTCCATTGAATCGGGAGTCACACAAATGATTGGCAGTATGTTTAGTAAAGCATATGCCATATGGGATATGACAACACTTGTTAACACGCAAACTGTATCTAATGTTTTCATTAATTAAAATTAATTCAACGCAACGTATAGTTAACAATATAATGAAAATCAAATTTATTGAATATTTGTTTAATAATTATAATAATATAGTGTATAATAAAAAACAATTTGTGTAGAATTAATAAATGAATAAATATATTCTCAGATCTCCATTGAAATCACTTGGAATACAATTATTGATCACATATTGGTTTAATTGCAATTCACTTTCGTTTATAACAACAATTAAAATGTTATATTTATTTGGAAGTGATTTTTCGTTTGGTATCAATGTTTTTGCATAAATTTAATTTCAATCATTAATTCAACAATTATTTGGTAATAATATAATATTAATTCATATACCGGTATCGAGTAATGCATTTAAAAACAATTTAAAAAGTTAAAAAATAGTATAACAATCAAAGTTTAATAAAAACCAAAACCTAAACAAAAAGAAATATCAAAGAAATGGCAATAAAAACAATAAAAGAGTGAGTAATGCAAACAAAATGCTATTTTCATTTCACTTTTCGTCGGTTTTGTTCTGACTTTGGTTTCGGTGTCTTCTCTGGAAGTCATTAAAGATTTAAAAATATGTTTAAAATACGTTTACAATGAATGTTGTGTTCGAGACCTACCGGTGCCCCAAAACAAGGCATTCAACTGAACGCCAACGTAGAAGAATGACAGCATAAGAGAGGCACAGCCGGCAAAGAACACGGCTCTGGACGGCCAGTTGAGCACTTCCAGTACGCCATACACCCAGTGGTCGGTCTTGAATGCGATGTACAGAACCCATAATAAGTAGACAATCACTACAGACAACAGGAGTAGTGGGTATGCCGTGCGCTGTCGACCGCTCGAGTGTCGGACCAGATATGACTCCAACAATAGTAATGGCAATATAATCGAGTGCTGAATATAATGCATAGTAAACGTTAATGTTGTAGGACTTGGATCTAATGGTGACAATGAGTGTAATACTAACAGTGGTGTGATTCAGCCACGAGGGGTACCATTTCTCAACACCCGTCGGGAAAACCAGTTCCCTATTAAATGCATAGATAGCCCAGAATGTGGTCACAACAAACTGACGGCAAAAACAATCCATATCTATGTTAATAGCAAAGAGTGACCACAAATGTAATCAATACTTACGAATCCGATGGGAAGCGCGAGACTATTGAAGACAATGTCTCGAAGTCTAACGAAACCCGAAGATATCGATTGTTGGCCTAAAATGTCGGACAACAGGCATAACGAGAATGCGATGAATTGAAGCCACTGTAAGACAAGACACTGTCAATCGGGGCACCAAATGGCAGATAACAGATCATCACTACTACAGACCAGATCCCAAAATGTTAAGTATTTGTATCTCCAGGCCATAGATCCGCGCGGATTCTTCGTCGGTATATCGGGATTAGTGTAACACCAGTACAGAGAGTACCCGAAGACTATTGTGGCCGACATGTGGACCAACACTGACAACACATACGATCGCACGGAAGACATGTCTGTCCACCAAATTGTCTTCACCGGTGATCCACACAAACAGATGCACTCAATTCACAGGCTTTAATGGGTTCCCAATTTGGGTACTATTGGGTACTATTGGGTGTAAAGTCTTAATGTTATCATTGAATCCAATGTCAGATCAGTTGTGGTGATTGTGAAACCCAGAAGTCGGCCATCAATGACGACAAACAGAGGCGAAGACTTGTTGACAGGTTTGTCACCCGGTCTTCACTTCCCACACAAATGGTTACGTTATGTATGAATAGTGTCTCAAACGGCGCTAAATTTGGTTCACAAAACTTGTAAGAGTTGTTGCCTTATATCACATGAAACTTACCATTCATTTGGTTTTTGGCTCTCACTTCAGGGCATATTTGCTGTAAAACAAGTGATGGAAAAACTTTCGAAAAGACCCGAGAAATGAGATTAATTGAACTTCTGGTGGACTTTAATTAGTAAATTATTTTTTAAATCTCTATTTTAAACGTAATTTTATTTTTCATTTTATAAATGAGTTTTTCTTACATTTATTTTTCAATTAATTATTTTAAATTTTGTTTTACATTTCATTAAACCTTATTTAATTTAATTATTATTAATTTTTTCTTATTTTGTAATTGAATTTGTATTTAATTTCTCTGATTTGTTAGAAACAACTGAAAAGTGAAAGAAACGGATGAATCGATTGTAGAAAAAAGAGTGGATTTGAATGCAATTAAATCAACGATAAGTCGTTCACGACTTATAATAGAAGTGTTGAGTTTGTAATGAAAATGAATTTATGAGACAATTAATAGTCAGTTGAGAACTGATCGCCAAATAAAACAGATATTATTGTAATTAATATGTTTTTATACAAACAAAACGCCAATAAAACGGTTATAAATATAATTATTATAAAAAACATAAAACAATTTTTTCTGTTATTTTTTCTCCCAATAATTAATAAGGATTTTCTCAGTGTTTGTTAAAAAAGGCACAAAAACACCACATTTTCTCTAATCATTGAATTAATTGTTTAGTCTTTAAATTTGTTGTTTTGAAATGTTTTTGAAATGTAATGAAAATTGTTTGACAACTAATGGTTTTTTGGTTGTTATGAAAGTCATTGAGAATCCAATTCTGTATTCAGTCATTTAAAACCAAAGGGAAGCACAAAAAACATATTTTTTAAGTAATGACACACTTTTTTGGTTTAATTTCATAAATATATTGTAGTTTTTATGATTAGATGTGTTTTTGTATAACTAATGATCTGTGATTAACTGTCACTCAATTTATAGCACAAACAATTGTAAAAAACCAAAGGTTTCGTCGTCTTCTTCATTAACATTATCTGTCAATCGATTCCCGGAATGAGAAGTCTGTGCGAGAAGTGATTCTTTGTATTATTTTGTTATTTTCTTCGCTTTTTTGGCCAAACATTTTGTGGGAATAATGTATGAAATGCATAGAATTGAAGGATAATTTGATCCGAAAAATGATAAAACAAATGAATATGAAAAACAATTAAAAGCACTTTAGTTTACAAAAAACATAATCAAGTTTTGATATCATTATTAGTTTAGTTATGAAAAAAGTTACACAAAAAACTCTTTTGCTGTGAAAATGGATTCATTGTCTGGTATGAGACGAAACACAAAACTCAACAATTATTTTATCTCTAATTAAAAACTTTTATTTAGTCTTCGAGTTTGTATTTCAATGGATGCGCTGATGGTATGAATGGGCGAAAAGCCGGACACATGTTATGATAATTAGTTTTTACTTTTGGTGTTCTCGTTATGCGTTTTGTATGAATTAATGTTTGAATGGTTTAATTGAATTGTTGGCACTCTTTTAGATGTGTGCGAAGTGTTTGTGTGCGGAATCGGCACTCAATTCTGGGCATTAGTTTTTTATACACTATATTTACAGATCATATTTCTAATGGGTTTTTGTGTGATTTGTTGAGCAGTAGAGGTAATGCTGTCCCCAAATACCGACGATTCGGTTCAAACATTTGATTTTCATTTTGTTTGTAAAATCTCTTTGTTTTATCGGTTGAGAGAAAACGAGAAGAAAACTTATTTTTCTTATTTTTAAAAACAACAGTGTTTTTGATTATAACAGCCATTCATTCACTCATCTTCTAAAACACTATATATTATATATAATAGAAGTCTTATTTACACAATTTGTTTGAAAACTATTAGTTTTGGAAAACATATGTTTTGTGTCGAAGAGTTTGAATTTTGTTGAGAAAAACGAGAGAAAACAAAGTGTGCGGCCATTGAATGGTAAGAACAAGTCATTGTCAGAGTTGGTCTTCGATGATCACATGATTGGGAGTGAAGTCATTGTCATTAAACGCAGCGACGGTTACTTTTTTCCTACTGGTGTGCGCTATATTGGGAGGAGTGGGTGTCGTGTGCGGCAGTATAGCGTCCGATGAGTCCCCGTAATGGCAGTGATGGTGATGATGGAGATAACCTGTTTAGATCATGGCATACATTGCGTTACAGTCCATATACACACACCATATCAAACAACACATCAAATTATAATAACAGTAATCAGAAAATTAATATCAAAACAAAAATAATAATGCATTTACAAGAATCGGCAATTCTTTGTACAATTTTATTAATCTTAAAATAAATGTAAATAAATAAAAATAATTCATTTCAAACAAAACAGACAAATAATATGGAATTGAAAATAAATTTCAGGCAAAAAATACAAAAAAATCTAAAATCATAGCCTCGAAGAAGTGGAAGCGCTCGGATTAATGGAGTCATAGTTTGGATGCTTACATGACTCTAATGTCTTCTCATCGAAGATGATATCACCACTGCTTGACTTATGCGAAAACATATCACCAGAGCTTGATTTGTGTGAGAACTGCACGTCATCTATGGCTATGAAGTCGTCTCTCCTGAAGAGCGCCGATATCTCCTCAAACGTTCGGTTCTTCGTTTCGGGAACTTTAAAATATGTAAAAATCCAAAATATGGCCAAAAATACAGTGAACGGTAAGAACGAGTACTTTTCAATCGCGTTCTGCAATTACATTATTATATCATTTTATGTTACAATTTATTGAATGTTCAATTGTTTGCATTTGATTTGATAATAATCACAAAATAATCACCTCGTTATACGCTGTCATTAATGGAAAGGCTAAACCAACCATAAAATTAGTGAACCAATTGACTAATACGGCAATACTCATAGCTGCGGGTCGGGGCCCCTGTGAGAACAACTCTGCCGTTATCATCCATGGTATGGAACCTATCATTGCATTAAAAAATCAGTTCATTTGTTGCTTTCATTAGTGTATAGTTTGCATACCGGGGCCGATGGCAAAGAACACTACATATATCATTGTACTGAAGACACTCATATATGCCATCCATGTGTATAAAAACTATTCAATTCATAGAAATAATGTTTGAATAAATATTTCATTGCATCGAATGAGTAGTCTTTATATTTACCCCAAAGAGAAGAAAAATGGTCAAAAACATTGATGTTATGAACATTCCTCCTGTGGTGATGAGAGAACACATCAAAACAATTAGTATGAATGCAATCATCAATTGGAGAGATGACGGAATGACTGACCCAATCCATAGAGATGTAAAGTCCTGCGTCCGGTCCTATCCATAAGCATAATGGAGACCAGAGTCATGGCGACCATCACAACGCCGACACCGATCGTCGAATATTTGGCCACCTCTTCGCTAAGTCCGGCCGAAGTGAATATATTCGTCGAGTAGTAAAAAATAGCGTTAATTCCTGAGAGTTGTTGAGACAATTGCATTATTATGCCAATTATAAGCGGCGTCTGCAGCGACCGGTTCCCAATCAATTGAAACATTGTTATCTGCAATACAGGCATTAGTGGGACAGGCGTTTTAGTAGTGCACAGCTCTCAATAATAATACAGCACATCAATCAATGCAACGGATAATAAGTTATAGAAATTAGTCATTTTCTGATATAAACAATAATAAAGTTAAAGCATTAGAAGTACTAAATGCTAGTAATTCTACCAAAAGTGAGACTAACTCTGGCTTCTTGTTGTTGAGCTCTGTCTTCGATTCGCATCTCTTCGATGTCGTCCTCCACATCGGAAGTGCAGCGCAGTCTTTGCAAAGCTATAGTCAACGGCAAGTAAAAGCACGAGTTGTGTTATATCATCGATACAGTACACAGGGATCAATAGGTCAGTGCTATTCAGCACAGGCAACATCACACATACCATAACGCGCTTCAGTAATCCTGCCTTTGCTTATGAGTAGATATCGGGGACTTTCGGGACACATGGGAAGCAATAATAACTGGAGTACCGCTGGAATGAATGCAACACCTAATAGGAAAGGCCAACCATCGCGTGTGCCTAATATGACTGGCAGGCCTAATATCTGC